AAAAAAAAAAAAAAATCAAATTCCATTCCGTGGTCGTGATTTGCACTACTATTAGGTTGATGGTTGTGTTGTGCGAAGAGATGAAAAACAATGAAGTTGAGATAATGATTATAGGTTCAGTATCAAAATTGAATTAAATGGGTAGAAATCTAGTTGAGTGAATTCATAATAATAGATATTGTTGAGTTAGTTTGAGCATTTTTAAGCTTGATAAGGATATGAATGATGGGATCAGGTGAAGTATGGGTTGAAGGATAAATTTTTATTTATTGGTGTGGGAAAATAATTTTTTTCTTTCAAATTCAAAATTTCTCTGGATGTTAATGGAAATTTGTCTGTTTAGCTGAAAAGAATTGACCTTGAAGTTGATTATTATTATGAGATGTTGCAATTAATAAATTGGTAATGATCTGCTGTGATGGCTAATTTAAACTAGGGGTGGTGTGGAGGATTGGAAACAATTGGCTTCTGGCTATGAAAAATCTTTATGGTTTGTTTTCCTTATTGTGAAAGGCACTGAAAGCAATAAAATCTTTATTGGATTCAGATTTGTTTCCTAAATTGAGGATTTTTTATGGCATTTTGGAAGCATACTAACCTCTTTGTTCATCCTGGTTTGTTTGAAGAGTGAAAATGGAAGAGAATGAGAATGAGACAGTGCTGGTGCTAGTGCCAGTGCCAGTGCCCCTGGGAGGAACTTCGTTGCCGTAGACAGGACGAGAAAGGATGGCATTTCAGAGGATGGAGAATTCACAAGAAGTCCCTTTGGCAGTATCACTTTCCCTACCAACACAATATTAAACTACAAAAGCAAGAAAATCCATGCAAAGAAGACGAAAATATGGCCATGTTGAATCAACAGGGACTCCTTCATAGGTGGGATTGTGTTTGTTTAGCTCATAGAATTCTTATGGATGCTGGTCCTGATTTCCCAGAAGCCATGATACTATTGAGTTGCTCTTAGCTTTTCCAAGTTTGGCTTCTATGGGCCACTTGTTCTTTTCGCAAGGCATGTTTCTTCGTTTCCTCTTACATTTGTTTTATGTCTGCAATTTATTTGTTCTTACATCTTGTATATGAATTTGAGTGTCTTTCTAAGGGGCAAGTGCTTGTACTGAAATTTTACTTTACTGTCTCCACTCCTCTTATGATGCAGATTCACAGTTTCTTTGCCATCAAACCTCCCACCCAACACAGGTGAATCAACAAAATCAAGTAGATGGTAGAAGTTAGAGAAAATCAAATTCCATCAAAAGTCCTATACTTGTTGTTTGCAGCGCGCATAGTCAATCCTTGTGGGAATTTAAAAAAATCAAATTCCATACTGTGTTCATGATTCGCACTACTATTAAGCTGATGGTTGTATGAAACACAATGGTTTGCGATAATGATCATAGCTTCAATACCAAAATTGACTGAATTCATAATAATAGATATTGTTGAGTTAGTTTGAGCATTCTTAAGATTGATAAGGATATGAATGATGGGATCGGGTGAATTGTCTGGATGTTAATGGAAACTTGTTTATTTAGCTGAAAGAATTGACCTTGAAGTTGATTATTATTATGAGATGTTGCAATCATTAAATTGGTCATGATTTGCAGTGATAGCTAATTTAAACTGCCAGTGGTAGTGTAGAGGATTGGAAACAATTGGCTTGTGGTTATGAAAAATAGCCGAAGTGATATCAATATAGACTGGTATATCAATTATAGATATTATTATATCAATTGTGAATAGATCACTTATGGTGTAAAGTGCCAATTGGAAGCAGAGAGATATTTCCTCCACCAGCTTGTTGGCTACTTGGCTCATCTCTGAATGTAAGTGTTCCTTCTGCCCTCTTCAGTTTTAAGTTCTAATTCAATTAATTGCATTTTAGCACTTGTTTTTTATCCATAATATATATGGTCCCTATCTGTATAAAAGAAAAGAATACTAAGCAATTTTTTGTTGCATTCTTTTATAGTTTGTTTTCCTTATTCTGAAAGCAATAGCATCTTTATTGGATTCAGATTTCTTTCCTAAATTGAGGATTTTTAAAGGCAGTTTGGAAGCATAAGATTCTTAAATGGAAAAACGTTGGATAAAATAGTTACAGTACTCTTGTATATAAATTTTAATGCTTTTATTGATTTCCACATTCATATACAGAATGTTTTTAAAAAAATTGCTTTATCTCTGCAGGTTAGCTACTCGAAGAGCCTTTGTCCCCAATGTGATAGTAGTTTTCTAAAAATGCTGTATTATGTTTAAAGGGATGATGGTAGCATATCAGCACAAGGCCGAGTATTGACAAGCTGTGATCTGCAAGTGCTGCCACAAGCAATTCTGGTCCAAACCGGGATCAACCTAGTCATGCAGCCAAAGTCCGGTGGCAATTGCTTTAATTTAATTTTTGGATTAACTCTTTGATGTGGGATTGTTTTTATTTTACTCATAGAGTTCTTCTAGATGCTGGCCATGATAATATTGAGCCGCTCTCAGCTTTTCCAAATTTTGCTATTGACCGTCCATCATTGGTTTCACGAGGCAAGCTTCTTTTTCTCTTTCCACTTGTTTTGTCTTGTCTGTAATTGGTCTAGTCTGATGTTCTCATAAGGATTTTATTCTTTCTAATTTGTTTTTGATTCAGCATAGATTTGGTTTACTCTGATTTTATGTATCCACTCTTTTGGTTCAGGTATATTTTAAGTGATCATTTTGTCTCCTTGGAAACCTTGACAAAAGGGTTGTCCTCATTCTATGCCATTAAACCTACATATTTTTCCTAGGAGTGGCTGCGTTGTCAAACAGTGAGTCACTGCTAAAGTGAAGGAATTGAAAAATTAAATTTCATCAAATCTGAAATTTCCTCGCGTTATGTAGAGGGGTGGAAAAAATTAGGATTGCAATTATGGCGATCTTAGAAAAGATGGAAACATTAAATGATTTCGTGATGAACTTGGTTAATGTGAATTTAAATTGCATTGTCGAGTAGCGTTGGGATGAGATGGAGTAGATATATGTTATTAGAACTATCATGGCAAAAGAAACTATAATTTTTAAGCTTATGATGGATATTTGGTATATGTGCATTAGTAAAATCGGTTTTTAGTGAATTCTAATAATTGATGTTGTTGAGTTTGTTTGAGCAATTTTAAGCTTGACGAGGAGAAGACTGATTGGATCAGCTGAAGTATGGATTGAAAGACTTACCTTGAAGTTGATCATGATTATCACATAAGGGATGTTGCAATGTTTAATGCAAGCTGACTCTACTGAGTGGCTCTCATCTTGTCTTGGTATTCTTAGATCCTGTAGTCTCGACAAGCTTGTTGGCTCCTCCCTGAAATGTAAGCTTTTCTTTTAAACTATTTAGTTTAAATTGTAATCAAAATTAATTGCATATTAACACTGGTTTTTTTTTTTTTTTTTTATCGATAATATTATGGTGCCTATATATGTATATAAAAGAAAAGAACACCAAGCAATTTGTAGTTGCTTTGTTTAATCGTTCGTTTTTTTGCCTTAATCTGAAAGCAATAACATATTTATTAGTTTAGTTATCCATTTGTAGTCTTTAAGACTTGTTTCCTAAATTGAGGATTTTTAATGGCATTTTGGAAGCATAAGAATTGCGGAAATGGAAACCATTGGATAGAAAATTTACAGATCTATTGTATATAAGATTTAATTTTGTTTTTAATATCCAAGTTCTTACAGAGATGTTATCTTGCGATGCCTTTATGATGCCCTTTTTTAAATCAATTCAATCTTTAGCTATCTGGGCGTGAGAATCTTATTGGATATGCTATTGAAAGTTTAATCCCAGAACCAAAACCTGTAACAACGGTTCCGGTTTCGGGTATTTTGGAAAATTACATTTACCCTGCAAAAGTTTATAAAACCACAAAAAACCTTTAAAAACTTATAAATATCTCAACATCTAGTACCTGTTAACAAAAAAGAAAATTACAAATACATTATAAAGTCTTCAGTGTTCCAACTCCAATTCAACCTTATGGAGACTAAGAATTTCACATTATAAATTACAAATTCAACTTCAAAAGAATTTAAAGTACGTATAATTTTTATATATGCAATGTTTATGTGATATTATGCTATCAATAAATAAAAGTATTATTTATATGCTTCTTTTTTCTAGTTCAATGATCAAAACAAAGATATTGTTGTTGCTAATAACACGTACAGAAGAATTAAGTATTCAATAGTGTAATCTATACAAATTAACAAAGATGGTTTCGATTCCCGGTTCCAGCTCCAAATTTTTGGAACCAAAACCTACCTGATGCGACCGGTTTCAAATAGGAACCAGAACCAAACCCCGAGTATCTGTCGATTCTGGTTCCGATCAGTTTTTTTGAACACCCATAGTATATTTGTACAAATGTAACAACTCGTAGCTGATTATAAAACTTAAATTCAAATAATGAATATGTTATAGGGTTATTACGTGCTATGGCTCAGGGAATTTGTCCTAATCATGAAAAAAGTAATTTTCTAAACTTAAAAGAAATAATTCTTATAGAATATGAACTTTGTTTTAATTTTTTTAGTTTATTTGTTTTACATTAATTTTGGAATTGAATAAATTAATAAATATTAAGAAGATATTTTTAATAATCCTTTATTTTCAAGAAAATATTAATAAATGCTATAATTACAAAGTCAGGTGTTAGGCTGACTCATGCTTTAGGCCCACATTTGCAATAAGCAAACAAAAGGCAATTGCAAAGAGCCCATAAAAAAAGATTAAATTAAAGGAATTAAAAACGTAAAAAAGAATTAGAACTTGCATTACTGAAAATGAAGAAGATGAAAGATGGCCCTTTAATCATCTCACTTAACATAAGGAACATGAGCTGCAAAGAAACTTAATGTGAAAGAGTCGCTGCAAAGTAATGCCTTAACCAATACACGAAAATGAAATTGAATTTAGTTTCTTAAGATTGAGACGTTTTTTGATTTCTGAAAGTGCATTCCAGGATGCTCAGCTCATGAAGATGAACTTCGTAAACTACAGACTTCCAACTCAGGTTTCTCAGGACACTTATCCACAGTAAATTACTACTTTCTGAGCAATAATATCAATACTTCCCCTGTCACCTGTTGAAAAAAACAGAAGCTAAACTTAGCACACGATGTCGATTGATAAATTAACTGAAAATAAATAAAGGATATATGGTTAGGAATCTATTCTGGAAAAGTAAAAGTTGATCACTCAGTAGTCAATTCACAAACTTGCAGTTTCTTAATAACCTTTAGAGATATGTCAAGATTTCCTGAGAGAGCCCTCAAAAGGGAAGTCTTCCCACAACCTGGGGAATCAAGCAGAAGAGTTATCCTGAAATAATAAAAGAGGAGACAATGAGGTAAATAGAAATACAGGATTTAGCAAGAAAGTATTATTTGACTTCTAGAATCACACAACAAAGGAAAATGAGTTAAAAACATAATTGTATATTATACGATTGACAAAAGTATCCTAAGGAATGAAATCAATTAACCTTTTGGAGTGATATGGCTCCATGGTTGTGACCGAGTCCAGCAGGTTTACAGATTACATCTACAATGTAGTCTCCGATATCTTTTAGCGTTTGCCAGCAACCTATAGAAAGACATATCCCAATCAAAAGAAGATTTGTACAAAAAGCTTATTTCCCAAGTCATAGTGGAGGAGGAGCAGAGATAAAGAATAGATACAATAGCAGGAATAGAGAAACTATCAAAACCAAAACTTCATGGAAAGTGATACCTGTGTATTTGTTCCTTGCTTCAAGCAGTAGCCAAGAAACAAGCTTTCAATTTGATTTTCTTAGTGATTGAGGATAATGAAGTCAACATTTATGCATAGCAAGATTTCCTAATGATATTTAAAAAATGAAATGAGATGTTTTTGTAGACAAAGATAAAACTAAATCTGTTGTATAAAGAAGCAAATATAACATCATATCAGCAACTCAATTGTTTAATAGGAGATGGAAGAAAATTTAAATTGATGTTATTGGAGAATGAAAGTCTAAGAGCATGCACAATAACTAATTGAAAAAAATACGATAAAATTTCAGTTGTTGGGTTTTGGCCAAAGAGGCAGGAAAATTATCCATGCTATCCCTCAAAGACTTATGAATCTTTCGAAGTTCAGCATAGCCTCGGTTTGATTTCAAGAAGCTTCCTGTGGCTAAATGAGCTAAGAATCTCTGTGGCAATTTTTTGGCCATATTGGGCAATGCATAAACCAGTTATGTTTTCTCTCCCAAGGTAAGCCGGCTGCATTTGTCAGGATCAAGTACCATTCCCAAAAACAGCAAGTCAATATATTAGTTGCCAAAGTTTGAACTTCAGACACCTATGAGCACATATAGTAAAGTTGAGCATTGGCTAAGTAATGTTTGTTCAAAAAAAATCCATATAGGACAAAGGTGATAAAGTTCAAAAATCTCAACTACAAACTTTAATTAGTGACTGGTGGCATGCAAGAAACATAAAAAGTATATAAGATTTAATTTTGTTTTTAATATTCAAGTTCTTACAGAGATATTAAATGTGATGCTTTTATGGTGCCCTTTTTTAAATCAATTCAATCCTTAGCTGTCTGGGCGTGAGAATCTTATTGGATATGCTTGATAGTTTTAGGTACTCTTTCATAGGATCCTGAAGCATGAGATTCAAGAATTATGGAAGTTTAATGCTATTGAAAGTTCTCTAATTTAGGGGATAATTTGAAACTCTATGATCTCTCCTCTTAGCCGTGAATTGATTAGGAGAGTTGTTATTTTTAATAATATTTTATTTTCAAGAAAATAATAATAATATATATGAAAGAGAAATGCTATAATTGCATAGTCAAGTGTTAGGCTGACTCATGCTTTAGCGCCACATTTGCAATAAACAAACAAAAGGCAATCGTAAAGAGCCGATAAAAAAAGATTAAATTAAAGAAATAGAAAAAGTGAAAAAGAATCTGAACTTGCGTTACCAAAAATGAAGAAGATGAAAAAGACATTGATGCAACCTGTGGAATCAAGCAGAAGAGTTATCCTGAAATAATAAAAGAGGAGACAATGAGGTAAATAGAAATACAGGAATTAGCAAGAAAGTATTATTTGACTTCTAGAACACACTCTAAAGGAAAATGAGTCAAATACAGAATTGTGTATTATACAATTGACAAAAGTATCCTAAGGAATGAAATCAATTAACCTTTTGGAGTGATATGGCTCCATGGTTGTGACTGAGTCCAGCAGGTTTACAGATTACATCTACAATGTAGTCTTCGATATCTTTTAGTATTTGCCAGCAAAACGCTTATTTCCCAAGTCATAGTGGAGGAGGAGCAGAGATAAAGAATAGATAGAATAGTAGGAATAGAGAAAATATCAAAACAATTCATGGAAAATGATACCTGTGTATGTGTCCCTTGCTTCAAGCAGTAGCCAAGAAACAAGCTTTCAACTGATTTTCCTAGCGATTGAGGATAATGAAGTCAACATTTATACATAGCTAGCAAGATTTCCTAATGACATTTAAAAAATGAAATGAGACATTTTTGTAGACAAAGATAAAAGTAAATCTGTTGTATAAAAAAGCAAATATATCATCATATCAGCAACTCAATTGTTTAATAGGAGATGGAAGAAAATTTAAATTGATGTTATTGGAGAAAGAAAGTCTAAGAGCGTGCACAATAACTAATTGAAAAAATACAACAAAATTTCAGTTGTTGGGTTTTGGCCAAAGAGGCATGAAAATTGTCCATGCTATTCCTCAAAGACTTATGAAAAACTAACTTTAGTAAAGCCTATCATTTGAAGTTCAGCATAGCCTCTATTCAATTTCAAAAAGCTTCCTGTGGCTGGATGAGCTAAGAATCTCTGTGGCAATTGCCATATTGAGCAATGTCATAAACCAGTTATGTTTTCTCTCCCAAGGTAAGTAGGCTGCATTTGTCAGGATCAAGTACAATTCCTAAAAACAACAAATCAATATATTAGTGGACAAAGTTTGAACTTCTGACACCTATGAGCGTAAAGTTGAGCATTGACTAAATAATGTTTGTTCAAAAGAATCCATATAGGACAAAGGTGACAAAGTTCAAAAATCTCTTGAACTACAAACTTCAATTAGGGACTGATGGCATGCAAGAAACATAAAAAAGTAGCAATCAGAGCCCCAGAGACTTATACTAAGATGACTAAGAGATAAGCATATTAATGGATTTACATATTTCTTCTGAATCACGTACTTGCAGCATATTCGAGCACGTCATTGGTCCGTTTTAACATTCTCACAATCATGTGTACCCTGAAGTTATGATTTTCTCACTTCTATCCTCCATATTTTTATCTCTTGTACTCTATTAATTTTTAAACAATTTTTACCATAGCTCCTTATTGCCACTGTTGAGACGTATGACCGAAATGAAGAAACGAGTAGCAGAAAATTACTTGTTGGCAATAACCCAAAATTTATAATCATGCCACTGCTCCCCTTCAACATCTTCACCCCCACTACACTTAGTAGTAAATTCACAAACTTGCAGTTTCCTAATAACCAAAAACTCTGCTTTGCTAGTCATGGTCAGCCTCACCAGTCATAACAGTAGTCAATTCCATCAGTTAATGAAGATCCTTAAACTTTAATGTTACATACCCTAAAGGGTTAAAGGGTTTCACTTTTACTACCACTACACATCAAAGCCCCAAACCATGCAGAACCCAAACCAACAAAAAAAAACTTTAAACAGTTGTGCGTTGTATATGAATATAAGATCAGCATCTAACATGCACTTCCATTTCTAGCTTTTTGAACCACAAAAGCTTTGAGCAAAATGAAAAACAAGCCAAAAAGAAGAAAAAAAAGGCTTTAAAAAGAAACAAGACTACAAGAGGAGGACAAGCTTTAAACATACATTGAGTCCCTACTCGAGCACCTCTCCTCTACTGAGCTCATAACTGACTAAGCCTAAAAACCCAACAAAAACAAGACTTTTATAAGCTAAGGTATCCATCATTACATCAACAAGTCTAATATATAAGAAGAGTCTTAAAACAAAGTCCATCCAAATCATCCTATCATTAAGAGAATAGTCTCACGAGTTTCAATCATGTAACCTTAACATGCAACGCACAGACGCTTAAAATTCTACAGTTATCAATTTCAATAAAACCACCAGCTACATTGTCTAATTATTGGTATAATTATTTTCATAGCAAACTATTAGAACTTATAATATATTCAAAAGCAAATTTCTAAAAATATAAACAGTTTATTTCCATATCAATACATATCAAATTATTACTTGCACAAGTTGAAATACAATTTAAACCGTACCAGATTTCTTTCCGGATAAATATAATCAGAAGCCATTCAATGTATTTGCACTTCATGGTCCCTGTTGAACCTCTACTAAATCGGATCAAGTAATCTAGCAACAAAACACAAAAATCATATTTTCAAACAACGTTTCAAGCAAATCACGCTTTAAGACTACAACTTCATAGATGATCACATTGTGTTCACCTGTCGCCTAGAACCCAGACAAATACGACGTCAGTTTTCAACTTCTAATCTGCTTGAAGCGTAATCAACATCATTTGGCACTAATTTCGCCGATTGTTCCGAACAAATTTGGGAACAACTTGGCAATCTCATCTGTGAAATTAAAAAATTAACAAATATTCATACATATGTTCTATTAGGTTTAATTATCAGTATTTGAAACGATGAAAATGACCTAAATTGCTGGCGGATGAACTGGCGAGACCATCGACGATTTTGAAAGGGTTACAGAAAACGGAAGGGAGAGGACGCGCGTGGTCCATAGGACTCGTTTGAAATTGCCTGTAAACTGAAGCCACGCAGTCGGATACTAGAGAGGATTTGACTGTTGCCGGATGTCGCCGTTAGCCACCAACGAAAGAGACACCTAACTCTGTCACGGAGCAGCTAATAATTGCCTGTAAACTAATTTTCTTTCCTCATCATCATCATAATCATCATCATCATCTTCTTCTTCTTCTTCATCATCATCATCATCATCATCATCATCATCTTCTTCCTCATCATCATAATCAATATTTTCTAGTTCAATTGGAACTGGGAATCTTGTCCATAACTTTAAACCATCTATAATAATAAAGAACAAAAATTCAATAGTAAAATAAAAAACTCTGGAGAAAATGGATCATAACTTGTCAATTAAACAAGAAAATGAGGAATATCCTCACCACCTACTTTTATATATGTTTCAAAAACATGTATAAATTAAGGAAACATAAATTATAATATTGTAGCTTCTCTATATATACTTATAGTCTATAATTGATTCACTTGGAAATTTTAATTAAAGACAAAATTAATAATAAAGATTATTGAGAATTGACTAGTATTAATTAAAACGAAGGAGAACATACAGTAAAAAAATATATTGTTAAGTAAATGAATACTTACAATTTTGTAATAGGTGTATGATCGTATCAATGTCCATCCCCATATGCTCGTAATCATAATCGTTCAACCATTGCAACTTTGGCATGCTTAAGCCTCCTCCAAAGAAAGTCTTCATTTTGAAGCATTCCCTCACATATAAGCTTTCTAAATTTGGAAATTTTAAGGTGTAATTCCCATAACATAAACATGTAAGACTTTCTAAATGATTCAAACTCTAACGTTTTAAATTTCTTAAAAACAACTTTACATTTCTCTATATCTCCCTCATTTGCTAATACTTCTATCATCATTTCACAGCTTTTTATTGACAACTCTTTTAATTGCACCAGACTTTTGGCTGTTGAGGATGACATTAAGTTTTGCATTCCATTGCAATAGCTTACCCTCAAAGTCCT